TTTGCGAAATTCGAATGTCAAACTCGAATAGTTAGACCTTCGATTTGCGAAATTCGAATGTCAAACTCGAATAGTTAGACCTTCGATTTGCGAAATTCGAATGTCAAACTCGTTGAGTTGCATCTTCGATTTGCGAAATTCGAATGTCAAACTCGCCGAGTTGCATCCTCGATTTGCGAAATTCGAATGTCAAACTCGAATAGTTAGACCTTCGATTTGCGAAATTCGAATGTCAAACTCGAATAGTTGCATCTTCGATTTGCGAAATTCGAATGTCAAACTCGTTGAGTTGCATCCTCGATTTGCGAAATTCGAACGTCAAACTCGAATAGTTGCATCTTCGATTTGCGAAATTCGAATGTCAAACTCGTTGAGTTGCATCCTCGATTTGCGAAATTCGAATGTCTAACTCTCTGAGTTGCATCTTCGATTTGCGAAATTCGAATGTCAAACTCGAATAGTTAGACCTTCGATTTGCGAAATTCGAGTGTCGAATTCGTTATGTTCAAACTTCGATTTGCAAAATTCGAATGTCTAACTCGCTGAGTTGCATCTTCGATTTGCATAATTCGAATGTCAAACTCGAATAGTTAGACCTTCGATTTTGGAAATTCGAATGTCAAACTCGCCGAGTTGCATCTTCGATTTGCGAAATTCGAATGTCTAACTCGCTTAATTGCATTTTCTAATTTCGAAATTCGAATGTCTAAGTCAAATAGTTAGACCTTCGATTTGCGAAATTCGAGTGTCGAATTCGTTATGTTCAAACTTCGATTTGCGAAATTGGAAAATGAAACGCGATATGTCAAAACCGAATGTAGAATTTACTCTGTGTAGTCATCAAGTTGCAAATCTCGATTATCTAACGCGTGTAGTTTGAACCTCGATTTGCGAAAATCGAATGTCTAAATCGCCTAGTTTCATCTTCGATTTGCGAAATTCGAATGTCGAACTCGCTTAGTTGCAGAATAGGATACAAACGAAACTTTACATTATTTATAGTTTATTGTATCTTTAATTTATTATGTGCTCATTACATTTGATCTTACATGTATGAATGAATACCCATATTCTTCACTTTCTTTGTTTTATCTATTGGCATCCGGCTGCACGATTCTCCCTTTCGTCTGATGCGTCTTTCTTCTCTTTCTTTATCGCGAATATTATCTTAGCCAGTTCAGTCAGACGAAGAGGACGGAAAGAGACAAAACCATAAGTGTTATTCTTTTCATTTATCCTAGTTACCCTTATTCTTCATTTTCTTTCTTGTATTCCTCTCCGTGTTATTGCTATTACTATTATTTTTATCGTCGTCGTCATGATTATTACACGAATCTGCCTTTCGCTTACTACTTTTTACCTTTCCCTCACGTACACGCGACGCTAGACTGCGTCTCTTACGTTCCAGTTTAGCCAAACACTTGTGAACTTCATTTATTCTCCGCGATATGTCGTCACAATCCGATTGATGCCTCTTGAATACTACATCGAAATTTTTATCCTCCTTTTTTGGGGGACCCACATCGAGCTTCTTCGTTACCCCTGCACTGTATCTCGGTGTAAACATTGACGAAACGTATCGAATCGGAAATGCGATGGTCTTCGAATCGCACTTACTGTAACAGTGATTAGCATCGATTAAAAGTCTCGGAACGTCATCGTCGCCATCGCAGATCACGATTCTAATTTTTGACGGGGCCTGCGCTCGTATTGCCCGTTTGAACCCTTCGACGCCCAGGAGTCTATTCATGTCCTGTATCATTTCGTCGGGAATGTGACTTATGGTTCTCCCGTATTCGTCGTAGAGACTAGACATCACTTTGATGTTGATGGAGTTGGCATTGTTCGTCGTCGCGGACTTTCTGCTGCTATTCGTCTTTTTGTCGTCGCGTGGCGCTGTTGCGAGTTTCCCCACGGCTACCAGATCGAACAGTCCCCTGTTCTTCAGAATCTCTATCCAGTGCTTGCGATCGAGAAAAATGTCCACGAATCCTAGATCGAATCCATCGTCCACGAACTGAACATTCTCCTCCGTAGACCGGTCTCTCTTCAGCGTGACGCGTTTAAAAGGTCTAATGATGTGTCTGAAATTGATGGTCTCGATTCCCCCCACGCTCTTTTCGACGATAGTGCGATTATCGTATCTGTCAGACGAGGAAGCGATAGACAATACGCCTTCACCCGTGGTCAAGTTGATCAGGAGAAGAGGATTACTATTCATGCGTGATAGTCGTTGGTACGTCCTGCCTTTAGTTGCTGCGAGATCATTTCTATCGGAGCAGAAATCTTTTTTTCTTATCTTCATCACCCTCATGTGTTTAGCGATGGGTGTAAATAGGGCACAGGATTCTCCCGCGGGACCTTTCTCGAGAGCGCCGCTGGTTGCAGAAATACCGTCGAGCCAATACTGTCCGGTCGCATAATTCTGAAACTCGCACATCCAAATCTTTAACGCGGAAGTAAACTCTAGTAAATTTTCATGATCGGACAGATGGTCGACGATAGTTCTAACGATCCGTTCCTTGACATCGGTACCGCGAACGGTTGTCATGCCGTCGATAAGGCTGAATAGCGTATATCTTATAACGTATTCGAGATATCTCTTTCTTTCTCTATTAACGATCTTATGCATCTTGGGGTAACGCGACGAGAAAAGGCTCGCCGTCATATACAACCTCAGCGTTCTTCTCATCCTACACCCCGTGTCCCAACTGAACCTCTCCGATAGATTGCGATTATACAGCGCTTTTAAGTATATGTCTTCTATGGTATGTCTGTACTGATCATAACAAGAGTTAAACTCGATTAGTTCGTCTTCGTTCGCCATGTTATGCATTTCTTTGAACAGCATCTTTAGGCTCTCGGTGTTTCCTCCCAAACGTTCCACTTCTCGTAACAGTGAAAACGACACCATCTTACTCCTCCGAGTTTTTCTTTTATTTTTCTTGTTTCTACGCTTTTTTTTGACGCTGATGGGATTTTCGTAATTCGCGTGAGGATAACTCCACTCCAGCATAGGAAAATCTCTTATCTTTTCAAACTTTTCAATTTTGGTTGTGAGAGGCGGTACCAGATTTAATAGCCCTAAACGATGAATCTTCCTTGCCAGTCTATCTGCAAAGGCCGTGAGTTCATCACCATCATCGTCGTCATCCTCCTCATAATCATCCGCGTCATTATTATCATCATCATCATCATCGTCGACGTCATCGTCGTCGTCATCGTCGCCATCCTCGCCGTCTTCGTTATATTCGCCATCACGATTCCCACCGCTACGGTGATTTTCACTAAATGTCGTATTCCTCGGTTTATTATTGATAACTCGTTGTTCTTCCTCTTCACCAGAGTCTATAGTTTCGAATATTTTGCCTAATAGTATATCGAGCGATTTTATCCTCGTGGATTCGTCATCCTTCTGCTTCGCTTCTTCCTGTAACTTCCGTTTTTCTTTAGGATGTGTCGATGATGGCATGGATTCTTTTTCCTCCTTTACAAAAGAGATTATCGTGCTCAATAATTCTTCGTCCTCATCTCTCACACTTCCTTCTTGTAACGCTAGTACTCTCTCGAGGTTGATATTTTGTATGTGTGCGCCGTCCTCCGCAATCTTCGTCCTTTCGCCCAATCTGTCTCTGATACGCTTATAGTATTCACTGTTATCTGTTTTTTCCGGAAGTGTTTTTTCTCCCAATTCCCTTATACACTTGTCGATGTTTCTGATAGTGTACGCGGTCCATTCCGTAAACATGGATGTGCCGGATTCGTTACTGCCGTTTCGTATCAACTGGGGGCAGTTATCGATCTGAATAGAAAACGTATTCCTTTCCGCCTCGACCATTACGGTAACGTAAGACGAAAACGCCTTAACGTCTAGATCGTTACGAGAATAGAGAGGAATTACGTCTCTGAGACTCGCCGTGGAGTTGTACGGTACGCGTCCTTCTCTGACAACTGTCGGCCCGTCGCTGAACGTTATAGTGGAACTAATGGAAATGTCTCGTTCCCTCTTCTCTACTCTGCCTATCTCCACACGAGTCAGCTTGTACGTTTCGTGTTTCTCGTTCCACTTGACCCCTAGACCTAACAGTAGTACTACATCTGTAGACGTCTTTCGGAGAACGGGGTATCCCATCGACAGATCGTCCTCCGACGACACGTACGTTCCCCCGATTTTTTGGCACGCAAAATTATCCTTGGAATAAGTCGTACACACGGTAGCTCTCGTGCCCTTCAGATGAGTCCGGAGTGCATTACGTATAAGCCCGTTCATCTCTTCGATGCTGTTCTGTAATTCCGCTCCGTGGTTCTTGTGCTTCCGGATCTCGGCATCGATAATCTTGATAGTCTCACCTAGCTTAGCCTTTATCGCATCGTTCGAGTCGCCTGCGGATTCTGTCGCGAGAGTATCGTCGCCGTTCGCCTCCCTGTTCATAATGTTTTTGACGTCAGTTAGACACGCCTTGAGAGATTCTTCTACCGACTCGAGATACCGCGCGCATTCTTTAAACGTGTCGCTTTCCATTTTCGTTCTTTCCGTTATCAGAATCTGTCGGGAGTGTACGTGCGATAACCAACGCCCTCATATATTTCAAAAGCGGTTATTGATGGCCCACCCGCCCGGATGTATTTTATTTACATCGTCACGCGTTGAGAGTTTCACGGTCTGTTACATCGTTTAATTGTTCTCTGTTCTTATTTGCAAGAGCAACACACAATAGTGCGAGTGCACATCTACTATTCTCGCGCGAATACGACGTATCCGTATTACACATTTTGATTACTGTGTATCGGGTATCGGGGAAGATGCTCTCTAGCAGCGCTGCGTCCTGCTCTAACTTTTCTAACCACCCGTACCCACTGTCGGGTACGGATGGAGATATCACGTCCACATCCGTGTATATGTAGGCGCGGGATGCAGAGTCCACCGCTGTGGACGAACGCCACAGCGAAAATCTCTCCTTCTTTCCACTAACAGAAGAGCGTATCGAGCAGCCGCCAGCATGTCGGACGAGCAATTGTTGGAAGTCGAAAGAGCGTTGCTGGGAACCTCTAGTACTACAGATCCACAGAAAAGACTAAATGTTATTACGAGAGGAACGTTTAGGCAATTGCTGTCAGATCGAGAACGCAAGCTCAAAGAATGGTCGCCGTTTCCAAAACCGACACCATCGACATCGAGTTCGACATCGATAGAAAATGCAACATTATCCGCAACCGAAAGCAACAGGGCAGATACCAATGTAGCGGATTACGAAACGTGCAAGGACAACGGTATCGAGGACGATCTGAAATACATAGACGACGAGTTCTCCGATAGCGATACCGATATTATGACGTATAAGGTTACCGAAGATATGCTAACGGAAGAAGGTAAATGGAGATGTTCCTACAATAACGACGATAATAACAGAAACAATACTTCTGCTGCTGCTACCACCAGCAGTAATAACGACAACATTATTAGCGGCAGTAATGACCTTACAGGTTATCAGAGGAGAATCGACGATGAAACCTCCGGTATGAGCAATATTAACATTACAACATGTACAGGTTCTCTGATGAAAAACCTTCTCGAAACGGATAAGAGATATACCATAGTATCGTCACGTCAGACATTAAGAGACACGCCCAACGATCCTCATGCTCAACAGCAGACATCGACGGGTGTTCAAGAGCAGTCACTCGAACAACAAATAATTCGGGATAAAGATACAACGGCACAACAGCGACGGCAAATACATATAATTCAGGATACGGATCAAAAGCCGATTAGGGTCTATCACCTACAAAAGAATTCGTCGGCAATAGTGTTACCACTGAAACCAGTAACCGAATCAAGTATATCGTCTTCCTTCTCATCAGCAGCAGCACCACCACCGCCGCCACTACCACCACCAGCGCCAGTAGAAACACCAGCCCCAGCTCTACCATTGTTGTTACCGCCATTACCACCACCACCAACAACAAAACCAGCATCGGCGCCAGCATCGGCACCAGCATCGGCACCAGCATCGGCACTAGCATCGGCACTACTGCAGCCGCCGCCGCCGCCGCCACCGCCACTGCCGTCACGACCGATGAACGATGCAGACCCAGACGTTAATGTTGTGGATCTTACGCGGTCAACATCGCCACTACCGCCACCACCACCACCACCGTTAGCACATCCGAACAATTCGACTCAAGCCTCATCAAACACATGGCAGATGCCAGAAATTCGATTGGCAGCAGGTTCCTTGTTCGCTGTACCTTATACCTTTTCAATACACCCTAACTACCCTATACCCTTCTATTTGCCATACGAATTGTGCAATTATTACAATTCTCAGTATGCTCCATACAGTTATTCGTTCAGATACTTAGACAATTTTTATCTTCCTCCTCCCCCTCCTCTCCCTGTTCCCATTACTCCTCCTTTTTATTCTTATCATAATCCCTATTCGTATCCATATCTTCATTCTAACCATTGTCATTACTGTCATCGTCGTACTCCGATGAGTATAGATCAACAACAGTACGATCTCAACTCCTATCGTGACCATCATCATCATCATCATCATCATCATCATTATCATAACCGATATTACAGCCAAGAAGGAAAACGAGAAGTAGAAGAAGGAAACGAAGAGATCGCGCGAGAGAGAGCCGAGATACCAGAAGAGACGGAGAGAGAAGAAGTGATCGAACAGGACGAACAGCAACTTCAGCGGCAACAATACCACCACCACCAGCAACAGCAACAGCAACACCGCCACCGCCACTACAACAACGAAAGCGAACCAAGACACGGAGAGTACCAACACTATGGCTATAACCATCATCAGCAGCAGCGAAGAAGCGCACTACCGCAAAGACAGCGCCAGCGATATTTTCGAAATCGATCTATACCGCCCTATGTGAATAGTTATAACTATAGCAATAATGACGACAATGTCGGTGGTTGGTATATCGATCCTAATGTTGGTACGATGAGAGAGAAACGCGGTGGTAGTGTTTTCGAGCACGACATTAATAATATGAGAGAGAAGCGCATAAAACATCAGAATAATAATAATAATAGTACTAATAATAATAATGATGGTGATAATAACAATAACGCTAATAAAAAATAACATCGATGATGATATCACGATACGGTATTATGTGCCCGACTTGTTCATTGTGTGACGTGGACCGTGACATAGATCGTATGACCCAACTATTGACTGCATGACGTGGATTGTGATCGTGCCCCTGGTATTGTAATCGTGCAGATCGCAATAGGATTAAGTACACAATCTGTATCGCCGTGATGGTGCTTACGGTATCTAGATTTATCATGTGCTATCGTTAGTATATCGAGAGTGTAATATGCGAATCACTAACGATGGCGATAGTGTTTGTAGCGATAGCGAAATAAATGCGACCAGGATGATAACGACAATGTATCGACAATTTGATCTATATATATATATGATGTAAGAGCAAATACGGTAAAGGGTATCGCATTAACGTCTATGTAATTGAAATAAAATAGAAGGTACCATTGTTTCTTTTATTACACCAGTGTGTCTCGACGATTAACTCTAACGACGAATACCGACCGTCATATCTTTACCGCGTATCCAAACGAGCCGACGAAAAGAGGCAATATCACCACGACGGTTACACGTCAAAATAATCGGAAGAATATCTCCAAAAGGTTCTGGGCCACACAGCGGTCCACCACATGGGTCTGGAGACGACGCTCGTCTTTTCCAAGAGTCCCTTATATTCGAGGACCGTGTCCGTACCATCCCTGAGCCAGTCGTCGCCTATGTGACCGTGTTCGTGCCCCCACTCGATCAGACTCCTCTTGAAGATCGATGCAGGCAAAATATTGCCTTCGAACGCCCAGTCGGATTCGTCGAACCTTAACCTCGGATCACTATCCGCGTATATGTTATCTTTAAAATTATAAAGATACCGAAAGGTATTTATACCCCAGCCGTGTTCGGAACCCACGGGATAGGGCGACACGCTGTACTCTGGCGACGAGTCGTCGAATATTTTTAGTTTGAGGTTTGTAGCTCTGGTAAAATAACGAGAAAAGGTTTCGTGATCGAAGAGAACCTCGCGATCAGAGGAAAAGATATCGTATTCCGAGGTCATCCTCGGCAAGAGCGAATGTGATGTAGGAAACAGAAATTGTGCATTGTTTAATTTCATCCCTCTGCTGCTGCTGCTGCTGCTGTTACCGTAGTAGAGCTCGGAGAAATCCACTCCTGCTCTCGACGATGCGTTCAACGCCCAACCGGCATAAGCCCGATAGGATCTGAGCAATAGACCTTCTCTTATAACAAAAGTGTCGTCTATGTTTTCTATACCGCTGAAGTTTCGCACCTCTCCCTCGCGGAATTTTAGATCCCACGACGAGAAACGGTCGACCGCCGCCGCAGGCGTGACATTCTTCTGATAGAGTTCGAATGTCGAGAGTCTTCTGTTCGGAAAGACCTTATCGTAGAACCTTCTCATCCCCTGCAGTCTTTTGTATCCCGCCGAGTGAGCCACGAGCGGGTCGTGAGATTTGCGAATCTTGGCCCTGGCGTTGTCGGCCAAGAGTAGCGAGAAGAGCATCTCCGATCCGCCCAGAACGTTTCCCGACACCAATCTACTGTTCCGCAATCCTTCGAGAACTAAGAGCTCGTGTTCGTACGGTTTTTCGGGTAGAGCGCCTGCCAGTATATTGGGAATGGGTTCTACGAAATACGGTGCCACGTTAAACGGTATCGGCGAAGAGGTCTTCAGAGCACCGATGGAAACGGGAGGAGTGCAACCGGCGTCGGTGTCGTACAGTTGGGAAATCCTGAGCGCGTTCTTCGGTCGACTTCCGCACATCGTTATGGATTGGATGGGAACGTACATGACGTTTCTCGTCTTGTTCGAGGAATCGTTATTGGTGGCCGGTATCACGGGAGAGGCCAGTCTGGTTATCTGAACGGCCAGCGACTCGGTGGGGTTCGCGGGACTCGCCTCTTCGGGTCCGATGCCGAGTTTTACGGGACGATCGACCCCCTCGTTGCGTAGCGCTACCGAGACGGCGGGCGCTATTCCGGCCGCCGGCGTCAGCGTTCCCACGAGAGGAGTTCTCTTGTCTCCGTGAATGACGTGATAGGCCTGATCCTCTCCCTGTGCCACAGCGTGACACGTGTTGTCCGATTCGTCGAAGCGGACGAAGCCGTCCGCCGTTCTCGTCATGACGCAGGGGTTCGTATTACACGCACCGAGTCCGAAGAACAGAAAATTGGACGACTGTTTCACCGTCAGCGGTCTATTGCCGAACACGTCTAGAGCGGTCGACGAACAATCGCAACCGATGAAGTGTTTCCTGTAGAATTCTCTGTCGTTCGCCATTGCTAAGAAATCGGCGGAGGAGGAGGCGTTGATCATCTCGGAAAAGTACGCCGTAGATACGAGATCGGAATGCGATCTGACGGTGTGTCCCGACACCGAATCGACGAGATGGGTGGACAGGTTAAAGATTTCGGCAGGATCGCCTCCCAGTCGTTCCGAGGGCGGCTCGTGCACGTAGGGGTCGTACAGACACGCTCTTCTCTCCGTGCCCGATGCGCCTCCGAACAGAAAGGGGTATTGCGGTCGGCACGTCCAATGTCCGTCGTCTTTGAGGACCAGGACCGAAGTGGTATTACTGCAGAGCAGTCGGTCTCTGTGTCGGTGCTTGCCGCTCAGGGGCACCCGATCCGATCCCAGAGCCGAGGGCGGTCCGCTCCAACAGTACGACCGACCGCCGGGGTAAAATCGATCTCCCGAAATGAAGGGGCCGTCTATCAATCGAGCTTCTGGATTCATGCACGTTTCGGAACAGTTGCCACCGTCGAACGGTACGGGGTCGGTACAGTGTCCTCCGTGGTGAACGGCAGTCGGGCTCCTGTAGAGAGGCGCAAATCGAACATCGTCGGAAAACAAGAGTCTGTGCAATTCTCGATCGCGTCTGTCGTTCGATGGCCGCGGTGCGTCGCCGATCCCCATGCCGTCGGCAGGAGCGTGCACGAGTGCAGCCACGTATTTTTTTACCACGGCAATCGAAGCCGTACTGGGCTCGGCGGTATCGCCGGTCGCGTGCCTAAACTCTTCGCCGGCCTGGTCGTGTCTCAGCGTCTCGCGCTGGACGAAATCCAGAGGTTGAGGTCTTCTCTTGTGACCCTGCGACTGCAATTGGAGAGGATTTCCGTGCTCCGATTCCAACAGTAGACCCGGGTGCGGTGGAAGAGCGTAGGGATCGATAGTGTGAGAGAGCAACGCATCGCTGTCTCTCATGTACTCGCCGAACATTTTTTGCGGCGTAACGCCGTCGGCCAAGCGACTGGACAATTCTCCGTATAGACCTTTCAGATTGACCGCGTCGTTCATGCGGCCCTGTATGCACGCGTTTAACAGATACGTCGTCGTGCCGACATATACGGTGACCATAAGAAAGAGTATAGCCACGAATAGCATAGAGCTGGCGGTCGTCCACACTCTGTCCATGGCGATGACCGATTGCCGATGCCGATAACGCTAACGATAATATTGTTAATACTAACAATAGTAACGACATAACAATTCTCTTACTTATTATTGTGTTCTTATTAGTATTTCTAAACAGAGGTCGAATTATATACATACACTCGCACGTGCTAGATTTAGTAATGTTTTACGTGGGGTTGATCGAAAAAGAATACGAATACAGTTTTTTCTCTTTATTATGGATTACACGTGATACATTATTGGCGTCAACAGTTGTATTACGAACACACGCGATCGAGTCGGTCGGACTCGATGGGAAAATACCTTTTCTGACATAATACGTTCTAACATATCCGCCGAATCGGTTTCAAGAGGACCCCCTCATTTGACGTCAAGAGGGCCCCATCTTATTATGAATTTGTCGCCTTTTACCATCCTGACGTATCGACAGCGTGGACTCCATTTAGCGTGTTCCTTCCAAGGCGTGTCGCTCTTCTCCCAATTTTCTAGCTGCACTCCACAGTGAAAACAGTAAACGGTGTCACCCGAACCTAAAAAAAAAAGAAAACAGATATATTACGGATAATGCACTCTACTCAGACACGGTACACACTCGTGATGCGTCTCTGAGCAGCGACGCGCGAAAGCGGCATGTCGAGCGCACGCATTATAGTCACACGGAACTTAACTCGAGACTCACCGCTCGAAACAAATCCCGCCTCTGCTAATCTGTGCGGACTCTGTATCGTCTCCTTTGGCCACCACCGGAACGTTTCCAGTCGCCTCTGATGCAACACGTACTCCCGGTGCATCGGATGCTTGGAACCTAAAACGACAAGAACGGTAATATAAAGATAAACAATTCTTAACGACGAACGAGTCGGTCTTACGCGACCGTCACGCTGCTACGAGAATTATCGTTCGCTATTATAGAAACCCCCAAGAGCGCGGGAACCGCCGAGCGCATTTAGTCCCACGAACTCACCGCGTCTATAAACCGACATTCTGTCTCGAGAGAGTGTGGCACTGGCATCGCCAGAGATCGCTCGATATGAATAGCGCAATGTAGCTCGTGCCCTCAGCCGCGCGCAAAGGATAATATTCTGCGCGCTGTTTCCTAACCCAACGATTCTTCCCGAACGACGAGCGACGCGCACCAACACCACCAGCGACTCGCGTCGTAAGCGTCGCGTCGGATAACGAGCATCGCCGATAACGGCACGATGTGCGGTACGGAACGGTCGCGACGGTCTATTCGATACGCGAAACGTCACCGCGTGCGGTAACGGTCTTTCTCGCGAAAGGCAATGAAATATTTCAGTGGCGTTCGCATGCCATTATACGTGACCTGTATAAGTACATTTTGTCGTAATTGCCCTATGGTGGATTCTCGCAAAAAATATCGCCGTGATGTCATCGACATCTAACAGTTCGCGTAAACGGAAATACGACGAGACGAAGAAAAAGAGAAATACAACGATAGAAAGAAGGGACTTAGACAACGAACTGAGAAGATGGTTACTCGACGGATGGAAAATCGGAGGACCTCTAAACCGCTTCAGAAGGAAAAATACGAGTTCCGCCAACAACGAGGCGCCTACAACAAGCCAAGGAAAGAATAAACAGAACGTTAACGGTGTAAATAATACTACCAATAACGCCACCGATAATAGTAACGGCGAAAAAGTTAACGACTTTAGCGACGCCAGTAATAGTTGTAGTAATATTAGTTATATTAGTAGTAGTAGTAGTAGCAGTAA